TAGTACCGCTCAAGAGCTGCAGGACGCCTCACGGCCAGCAAGTCTTCACTCAAGAGCTCTTCTGGGGCCCCACCGCCTCGTTCAAAGATCTTTCGCTGCAGCTGATGCCCCAGTTGCTGCAGTACTTTGCAGGAAGTGAGTTGTGACGAGTATTATGGTGGTTTTCTATTTCGCTCATATCTCTTTTGTCCGGACCCCCAAGCTATTGGCACCTCGATCTACCTGTGGGTGAGGCATAGTGGAGATATTACTACTCTTAGGCATAGTGGAGATATTACTACTCTTAGGCATAGTGGAGATATTACTACTCTTAGGCATAGTGGAAATATTACTACTCTTAGGCATAGTGGAAATATTACTACTCTTAGGCATAGTGGAGATATTACTACTCTTTTACCAAGTGAACTCGGGTGGTGAGCCAATTTAATTATGGTAAAAAAAGGACTCTCGCTGACTGTATAAGATCTGGTTACGTTGGTGGACAGTTAGTCATAACTCGTAACATTTTGTCTTTCTCCTCTTTTACCAATTCGTGACATCATCATACGCCAGATCTCTGGCCTTTGCTCCCATCAAAACAAGCATGATTCAGAGGTATGGACGTTTCAAGTCATGGGCAGTGCGTGGTCCCCGACTGCCCGGATAAGATAGACATTGGTGTACAATGAAGGTGGCATAAATATTGGAGAAGACTTGTTTGATGATTGCTTTGGCATGGAACGTTAAGTGTCGCATTTTCCACTTGGACCCTCTCTCTCTTCCATGTGTGCGTGCATGCATGCGTGCGTGTGTTTTTTTTGTGCACATGTTTTTGTGTGTGTGTGTGTGTGTGTGTGTGTGTGTGTTTTGTGCATATGGATGCGGGCATGCGTGCGTGTGTGTGTGTGTGTGTGTGTGTGTTTGTGTGTGTGCGTGTGCATATGGATGCTTGCATGCGTGCATGTGTGTGTGTGTGTGTGTGTGTGTGTGTGTGTGTGTGTGTGTGTGTGTGTGTGTGTGTGTGTGTATGTGTATGTGTGTGTTCATATGTGTGTGTGTGTTCATGTTTGTGTGTACTAGAGAACAAGTACGCCATGGTGGTGGCCACGTCCGGGGACACGGGCAGTGCGGCGCTGCACGGCTTCGGCTCGCACACCTCGTTTCCCGTCGTCGTCTTCTACCCGGGCAACGGCGGCGTGAGCAGCTGCCAGGAGCAGCAAATGATCGGACTTGCCGCCCAGCACCCTCACTGCCGGGCGATTGCCGTCAATGGTGACTTTGACTTCTGCCAGTCGGCCGTCAAGCAGATGTTTTCGGACGTGGCGTGGCGCGACGACCTGCTTGAGTCGTTCGGTGTGCAGCTGAATGCGGCAAACTCCATCAACTGGATGCGACTATTGCCACAGGTAAATACTACTGGCACACAATATGTAACGAAAATTGATAAATAAAAATTCGTAGACAATAAAAAGGGCTTCGACTCTTGCTAGAGGCAACCAATACTGTGCATTGTGTAACAAAAATTGTGATGGAAGAGATATGCTAAATGGAATATTGAAGAAATATGTGTACAATATAATATTAAAAATAAAAGAGCTTTGAACTAGTTTTCATGAAATACTCTTCAGGAAGTCTCATTGTGTGGTTCTAGTTGTATTGGATGCGCCTCTCGCCACAGGTAAACACTAACACAAACACGCACACACACACACAGACACACACACACACACACACCTTGACCTTTGACCTTTGACGCCCATCGCCGGAGGCGATGATAGCAATGCTACGGCAGAAGCCATAGCAACTTGTGCTGGGTTTGCACCATTCAACAGCTTGCAAGGCTGAAGAATTGACCGTCACTATTCAGCCTAGTCTACACCATACAGCTATTTACACACACACACACACACACACACACACACACACACACACACACACACACACACACACACACACACACACACACACACACACACACACACACACACACACACACACACACACACACACACACACACACACACACACACACACACACACACACACACACACTGACACACGCACACACACACTGACACACACTGACACACACACTGACGCACACCCTGACACACGCACACTGACACACACACACACACTGACACGCACACACTGACACATACACACTGACACATACACATACACAAACACACACACACACACACACACACACACACACACACTGACACACATACACTGACACACATACACTGACACACTAATACATACACACAAACACACACACTGACACATACACGCACACACACAGTATAGTGCCGATTACCATCACCCATCGGCCTGCAGTCTGTCTCCGGCAGGTTTGGATGAGAGGAATGTTGGGATAGGCGACCAGTCACAAATCTAGTCGATCATCATCGATATCGGATTGCCTGCGGCGGCGGGGGCAACATTTGTCCTTTGCTTTTGCGTGTGCTCTTCCCCAGATTATTCACCATGCTGCCGGGTACTTGCAACTGGTCAACGATGGGCGCATTGAGTTTGGCGAGCCGCTCGATCTCTGCATTCCCAGCGGCAACTTTGGCAACGCAATGGCCGCACTGTATGTCAAGGTAAGAAACACATTGTTGTACTCGGCAAGGAATGCACTTAAGGGGCTGTCCGGCATTATTGATAATTTTCACAGAACGAAAAAGTTTAGTTAGGACCCTCCCCCACCCACCCACCCCCCTGAACGGAAAATAGATTGACTTGACAGCAAGAATGCCTTGATGTCTCACATATCAATATTTTTCGAAACGAAAACTCCCCTTGACCCACCCACCCATAAACGAAACTTTTTCTCTTCGTGTAAAAGATCGATAATAATATTATGGACGGCCCCTAACCCACCGTAAAAAAAAGAGAGTAAATTATAGTGTGCGTTCCAGAAGGGCACTCACGGCGGCCGCTAGCACTCGGTAAACCCTAGCGACAGGTGCAGCGGGTAACCATGGTGACCCACTGTGCTTGGTGAGGAATACTACAGCACTGTTGGATGCCGCTGAACGGGGTGCCGCTGAACGGGGTGCCGCTGTACGGGGTGCCGCTGAGCGGGGTGCTGGTAGAACGGGGTGCAGGTAGAACGGGGTGCCGCTGAACGGGGTGCCGCTGAACTGGGTGCCGGTAGAACGGGGTGCTGGTAGAACGGGGTGCCGCGGAACGGGGTGCAGGTAGAACGGGGTGCCGGTAGAACGGTGTGCCGGTAGAACGGGGTGCAGGTAGAACGGGGTGCCGCTGAACGGGGTGCCGGTAGAACGGGGTGCCGGTAGAACGGGGTGCCGGTAGAACGGGGTGCAGGTAGAACGGGGTGCCGCTGAACGGGGTGCCGGTAGAACGGGGTGCCGGTAGAACGGGGTGCCGGTAGAACGGGGTGCCGCTGAACGGGGTGCCGGTAGAACGGGGTGCCGCTGAACGGGGTGTCGGTAGAACGGACAGTCTGGTGTTTCACCAAGCACACCATGCCAGTGTATACACGGTGATTTTACTGTGCATAGACTGTAGTCCATGAAAATAGGAACAATCTAGGCTAGGCCAGTAGGGGGCTGTCCCCCAGTTCTTCAGCACCAGACAGTACTCTATTGTCCACTGATGGTAGTAATCCTTTGGGAAATAGTATGGAATAGTATGGAATAGTATGGAATAGTATGGAATAGTATGGAGTAGTATGGAATAGTATGGAGTAGTATGGAATAGTATGGAGTAGTATGGAATAGTTTTGAATAGTATAGAACAGTATGGAATAGTATTGAATACGTTGGTGGACAGGTTGCAATAACTCGTAACATTTTGTCTTTTTCCTTTCTTCGTCATAGTATGGAATAGTATGGAATAGTATGGAATAGTATGGAATAGTCAAGCAGCTACTGTCATTTTATTGCACGACCTGTGACGATGGTGTTGAGCTGTTGCTCGAACTTAACATCAGTACACTATTGTCTTTTCTGTGTGTGTGTGTGTGTGTGCGTGCGTGCGTGCGTGCGTGCGTGCGTGTGTTTGTGTCTGTCTGTGTGCGTGCGTGCATGCGCGCATGCGTGTGTGTGTGTGTGTGTACATGTGTATGCTTGTTCTCACTACATGCCTACACCGATAACAGCGGATGGGCATACCGTTTCACCGCATCCTAATTGCCTCAAACGTGAACAACGTTCTGGAGGAGTTCATATCCACTGGCATGTACGACCTGACACACCGTTCTCTGGTCCAAACCATGTCACCAGCCATAGATATCCTAGTCTCGTCCAACGTTGAACGACTGCTTCACCTCATCGCTCGCGAGTCGCGAAACCCATGGCACATTGAGTGGGCAAGGTGCGCTTTCTTCGAGTTGAACCGCACTCGCCAATTTTCAGCACCAGCCGACTTGCTCGCGGCGATTTCCTCGGAGCTTGCGCCTGTCTCCATCTCGGACGAACAGTGCTGTCAGCAAATCTGTGACCTGGCCTCGTCTGAACAGTACATTCTGGACCCGCATACGGCAGTGGCAGTGGCAGGGTGTCGGGATGGGAAGATCCCTTCCAGCGCTTCCCGGGTTGTCTTGGTAGCGGGCACAGCGCACTTTGCAAAGTTCCCGGAAGACGTCAGCACCGCCTCTGCCATTGCTGAGCCTCTCCTCTCCGACCTGTCTGGGGTCGTGCCGCACACTAGTCTGCAGGGCTCGCTGGCTGCATCACGTCAAGCTGAGGTCGTCGAGTGTAGCGCATCCGTCGACGACATGAAGCGTATCGTTAAATCGGCGCTGCTTCAGCAAGCGGCTTGAGCGAAACAGCTGGCGTGTGCCCTCCTGTGCATGTCATGGTATTGGTCTTGAGTGTACAGGCGGCCCACTGTGACCTTCCATAGCAATTAGGCGATGCACATGGAACACGCGTACCGGATGATTTAAAACTACCGGGGGAAGAGAGAACTGTTTGCATGTGCAAATGATGTCGTGAGAGTACGGTACTGATGCCATGAAAGTATGGCAATGTAATTAAAGTACGGTATGACAATGATTGTATTCAGAGTACAGTATGACAATGATGTCATGAGAATATGGCAATGATGTAATTAGAGAACGGTAATGATGTCATGAGAGTTCCGGAATGATTTATTGGGAGTACGGCAAAGATGTAATTTAAAATTAGAGTATAGTATTGATGTCATGAGAGCTCGGTAATGACGTCATGATAGTACGTTTATGATGTCATGAGAGTACCTTGCTTGGGATGACAGTGATACTGGTTTCAAGCCTATGGGTTATATGAACTTATATCCCAGTCGCTTTACGTTCTAATCTCGTGCCGACGTGGGCTATGTTATCGAGACAGAATTCTTGCGTAGAGCACATTCCTGTCCATCTGTTAGTCTTACATATTTATCCTAGCAACATATTTTTTTCTTTAATTGCTACACCTTCGAGCTCTCGTGTTCTCTGCTCTAACCATTCCATGATGGATCGCTAATGATTAGGGAAACGTCAGTGTTTCCTCGCCTCGATTGTAAGACTGCTCTTTATTGACAATATCGTTTCGTGGACGGGTATGTATTGTATGATAAATTATGATTGTCAGTTGGCATGTGACAGAGTTGCCTGGCAGGCAGATCGTGCATCTACTACTTACACAGCTGCGTAATGCCGATTCTTCCTTTTTTTTGGATTTTTCTGATTTTCGGTCTTCTTATTTTTTATTGACATCGCAGATGATGGTGATAATTGATTTTGCAAAGGTGTCCAAATATTTTATTTCCTTTGAAGTATTTCTTGGTACCGTCAACAATATACATGTAGTTATAGCTAGCAGTGTCATCTCTTAATGGCTTTTTCGCTATATGACTTGTCACATGATGTCTTGTCACCGGCCAGTATTAGCTGGCTCTCACAGAGTGGTGGTGTCCTAGCCAAAGTCTGTACTGAGTACTGAAACTTATCTCGCTCGAGCGCTTTCAAAACTTTTCTCTTGGTTTCGCTTCCCAAATCGGTGAACCACGCGAGGCGTGACATGAGTTTCTTCCAAAAACGCAAAATCATCGCGTATTTGCACTATTCGCACAATGTTACATAAATCGCATCGAACGACGCCATAATTGTTAAGTGGCTGCACTGGAACAGCCGTGAGGGGTACATGCAAGTGGAACTCGGGACGCCGCGGATCCCCTCATGCCAACCTCTTTCTTCACCTTGGTCTCTCCGGCCCGCTTGCTGCGATGTTGTGAGTGACATCATATCTAGTCCAGCCAGAGTTTGGGGATTGCAAGGTGTGGTGGCTGTTGGGTAGGGCAATAACCAATGGAGTCACTTTTGTTTTTCATATTTGGCGTAAAACTCCATATTTGGCGAGATACTCGACTTTAAGGCAATTTGAGAGAGAAAGAGGGCAAAAGCGAGAGTTAACGCTCCAAAAAAAAGCAAGAACGGACCACGCTTTTCCGCTCCAAACAGGATTTGACGCTGATACGCCATTGACGCTGATAATCACTGATTTTTTCATCTCGATATCGAGGAGCTAATTGGCCACGGCCAACAACAAAACTCATAAGGATGGTTGCAAGGATTGCACTGAAGGTGTTGGCGATCCCCAAGGTGAAGGAATTTGACGTCGCGTCGTTCGTGGAGATTACCACTTGACGCTCGCAATTATTATTATTATTATTATTATTATTATTATTATGAAATGACCCAAATAAAAGGCAATGTGCCTATCGAGGGGTTCATTTGATTGAAAGAACAGTAGATGTATGTACAAAGACAAGTAGGGATTGATGAGGAGAGAAATGGGGAAAATCAACTGCAAGGTGGCGGAATTCCGTTGATTGCATAAGCATGGTCAGCTGTAAATTTCCTGAGAGCAGCTTTGAACTTATAGAGCGAGGCTTCGGATGTTAGACTGGGGGGTAAACAGTTCCATAGAATAGCAGTTCGGAACATGAAGAGAGACTAAGACAATGATTTAAATTTGGGAAGAATGATTTTATTTGGTCGTCGCTCACTATTCGTAATCTTGAAATGGAAATCAGCAAGGTAATCACGATGATGGAAAACATATCTGTGAAAAGTAGTGAGACTGATGATTTGACGACGATAGGCTAGTGACTCTAGGGAGCATTTAGAATTTAAGACAGATTTGGAAGAAGTGTAATCAAATGCAAATTTTTTCAAATGATGCAATGAATATAACTAAATGCGCACTCATATCACAACCATGGGGACGAATCATGTATTCCAGAACGTTTTCTTATCACAATTATCAATGGAATTCGTGACTAAAGAGAATGATGAAACAACAATAGGATTTATACACTTGCAGTGGAACAGCGAGGATACAAGCATAGTAAGAAAAATAGCACAAACCTAGGAACAATTTGCACAGGTAATAAATTATAGGTGAGGTGAGAAACATGCATGTCCATTGTCACACTGCACTTGCTGAATTTCCACACTGCACTTGCTGAATTTCCTATCATTTCTCACCTCACCTATAATTTATTACCTGTGCAAATTGTTCCTAGGTTTGTGCTATTTTTCTTACTATGCTTGTATCCTCGCTGTTCCACTGCAAGTGTATAAATCCTATTGTAGTTTCATCATTCTCTTTAGTCACGAATTCCATTGATAATTGTGACAAGAAAACGTTCTGGAATACATGATTCGTCCCCATGGTTGTGATATGAGTGCGCATTTAGTTATATTCATTGCATTATTAAGATTATTGTCTCCACGTCGCCTTTTTACATATTTTTCAAATGAAGTTTGAATTTTCATTCTCCCCACATGTGTAGTGTGATCGCGATTCAAATTCTGGCCGCTGTTCTTTGTTCGTCAGGCAACCAAAATTTGCCGCAGTCTGACCAGGCCCTAAACGCAGCCTCAGTACCTAGACTGCAGGAGTTGCAAAGAAAGTTAAATCAATGCAGCCTCCGCGTTTGCGAGGACAGCAGACTGATCATTGACGCGGCGCATCCGCCGGGCACCGCGAAGGCAGGCAACACTGGCACGCAGGAGAGCAAAACCAAGACGACAACGCAGCAACGCCATCACCATTGCGCATGGCTCTCCGGATTTCTCTGCAGACAGAGCAGCAATTCGCTTGAGAAGAGCGGAACCCACGTTTTGTCGATTGGCCAAAGGACCTGACAACAGGCACGTGACATGTATGAAACCAGTTTCTTCGACTTCTCTTTTCTTCTTCTCCGAGAAGCTAGAGAACTTACATGTGAGAACGCACCCTAAAATTGCACTACTCGTACTAGTACAGTATCAAGAGTACATAACTTCACTTCCGAGAATCTGCCAATTTTGGAGCGTTATCCGCCATGTACCAAGGGCTTTTGTAGGCTACCAGGGAATGGTAAGGACAATGCTCCAAGGAGTAGTAGTAGTAGCAAGAGTACATAACCCGTTTTAGAATAGGGCGTGAAAGTGATGCCGTCAGAAGTCGACAGATTACGACTTCTGGGTCAAATTGCATCCACTAACTTAGTACTGCTGTGGAAATTGAGGCGGCCACCCGAAAAACCGGGCGTTGGCCTTGCAGCCGTGAGCACTGCTGGTATATTTTTGCAGTGTGAGTTCTTTTCTTAAAGCATTCTTTGATCAATGTACATGCACAACCCCAACTAAAAGGAGAAAATATTTCAAATTTTCAATGCCTTCTTCCAACGGATATTCTTCTGGCACGTTTAAAAACAAGTGGTTTGAGGTATATCCATTTGCTCCTGGGCCATCCACCGCCTCCCCTCCCCCGCCCCCTCCCCAAAATAAAATGGCATCCACTACACCTGCAAAATCGATGCGACGACGCGAAGACTGACGTACTGTACTAGATGCCTGATCATGGCTCCGGGGGAAATGATGAATCCCCAGGTTTTATTCCACACTCTGTGACACAAAGGTCCCCCAGGCATTACTTAAAAAAATTCTTGTTACCCACTTGCATGCATGTAAGTCTCAGTATTCGTGAAATCGCATGCAACTTAGTTATATAGGGTCCAACGCAACTGTTGATTATGACGACGACGGCATCAAAATGGCCATAATGTTGATGGTGGTCTATTTTGGAAATCGAAACGGGAGTTTCTATTCATTAACACGGTAGCACAGTGATAAGGTAGAAAAGAGAAGAAAAAAGTAGTAAGAATATTTTCAACTCGGATGGCGAGCCAATTAAATTATTGCGAAAAAGGGGAAGGATAAAATGTTAAGAGTTATGACTAACTGTCCGTCAACGTAACCAGATCATATACAGTCAGCGAGAGCATCACAATACAGTGAAAATAGGTGTATGTGAATTGTGTGCGCATACATATGTGTGCAAGGAAGGTATTGTCCTCCCTCTATTATTGACATCTCTGTGATAATGATCTAATCTCACCGACGCCTTATTGTATTTTGCTTTATATAATATGTATCAGGATTCACTTACATGAAATATTCAGTTTAAGTAATATTTTTGCCCACGGGCCTCAAGCCGTGTGTAGTATAATGTGGACATCAGAATCTTACACAGACTCGCAAGAGAATACGACTCCTGGGACATCAGTTTATCAAATGCAACATTATAAAAATAAGGCCTGTCTGAAGGCATTAATACTAAAGAATCAAGCTTCTCAAGGGCGTTGACAGCGGCAATGAAACTGTTGGCCTGGTTGGTGGTTATCGCACTGAAATCGTTGCTATGGAGCCACAAACTTCTCAGCTGCGGCCAGCTCCTTAGAGCAGCCGTAATAGCTGGCAACGATTCAGCCGTCAGACTACAGTCACCAAGTTCGACACTCGACAAACCTGTGCATTTCCTTAGTGCATGCACAATGCCTATAACAACTTCGTCACCCAAGTCCGGATTATGAGACAACTTCACAACACTCAGAGTGCTTATTTTGGACAGCTCAGTTGCCAGAGCCAAGCCAGTATTTTTTGTCAGTTGGCAATGTAATAGTGCAATCTTTTGCAAATCTGGGAGTTTTGAGAGTGCAGAGAAGAACTGAGAGGTTGCAGGTGCACCGGCATCACCGAAGTTGTTATAGCTGAGCTGCAAGCTCTCCAGGCGTTTCCAGTGCTGCAGAGCTGTTGTGATGGCTGGTAGAAATGATGCAGTCAAACCACAGTAGATAAAGTCAACAGCGTATAGATTGCTACAACGGTGAAGGGCACGGGTGATTGCAGCCATACCATCACTTGACAGGTCCTTATTAACAAGCAGTGTGATCTCTTGCAGAGTTGTGAGATTGGACAATGCACTGGCCAAAGCACCGGCGTTGCTAGTAGTCAGATTGCCATACTGGAGGCTCAGCACACGAAGCTGGTGACATGTTGAGAGTGCAGCAATCAGAGGGGCCGATATTGGGGTGGACCGCATATCCAACAGGCGTAGACTGCTGGTGGAATGCTGTACAGCAGACGTGACAGTAGCCATAAGACCATGCATATTGTAAGCATTATGGAATCTCAATGCTTGGATCCCACTGCAGTTCGCTAATGATGTAGGGGCACGATCATTAGGGTACCCGAACGTATAATCTATGGTCACCACCTGCACATCATGGGGGTGATAGCGAAGGACTATGTCAATCGAGCGTAACTCTGCAGGATGATGATCATTGAATATCTGCACTTCTTGCCTAGAAGCTAGCAATGCGCGTATTGACGGCAGCGGGGAAATAGCCCTTTTCCGTTGCATAGCCAACTCAGCGAAAGAGTAAAATACAAGACTCTGAAGATAGCGTCGCTGCTCATCAGATCTCTCGAAATATGCAGAAATGTTTCGTGATTGAGCGAAGTTCTCACTATGAGCACGTGATGTGTTCCGATTAATGAAGTGCACAATCCCTCCTTTTTCTTCATCCAATTCCTGTACCTTCTGTCGTGTTAATAACGAGTTCACGAGACATTCGGCTTGTGCTGTATTCAGCTGGGCACAAAGCATGGTCCAGAATGTTCTCAAGTGTGCCGTTTCTGCACCTAGGGTTTCCACTAGTCGAATACTACTGGGGCTGTTCACGGCGGCTTGTGTGGGGTGTCTGGCAAGGTAGATTGCCGCCAGATATTCCTGAGTGGCCAGATGGCTGAAACGATGCTGTTTGACAACATTCCTTGATAGAGACTCCTCTCCCGTCACTAGTAAACCGAGCTTAAAGGCATTTTCACTGAGAGAATGCTTTTGGAGATCGACATCACTGAAGATCATCCGCTTCTCGGCAAGCATATTTAAGGCAAACTGTCCTATTTCCATCACCAGCAGTTGTGCCTCAACAGGTACCTCATTCCACTGCTTGTATTTCCGGCCGTAATTCCGGTTGATAATCTGCACGATCATCTGTTCAAACATGTCCGTCATGCACTGCGGTGCATCCGAGCCAAAGTGGTACTGCACACACACTTCCTGTGCCATGAATGGGGTCGCCATCATCCCACCCAGATAAGCTGAACGATTAACTTCTGCGACCAGGGTCTCTGCTTTCTCCGGGCTTAGTACGCTATGAATATACTTCTCCACATTATCTTGTTTGAATCCCGTTAGCTCAATGTGCTGGTGGAAGTGAGGTAATACTGACAACTGGAAGATGTCGGCACAAGGTCGAGATGTAACTATGAGATGAATTCCCTGCAGCTCCTCGCCAAACAGTACATCATAGACAAAACTGCTCATGTCATTCAGGTTCACCTCATCAAGACCATCTAGAATTAGCACTAGACTCTCAGGGTGTTCACGAACATGATCACAAATCTCCTGCTGGGCATTGCTGTCTTCGATACCGATGCCATCTAATCCAAGTAGCTTCGTGAGGGATGTAGCTTTGTACACGTCTGGGAAACGCAACTCTCTTGCAACGAGCAGCTTCTTATTGGGCCACAGTTCACCGGCTGCCCATTTTATTGGTGCCACTCTCGTAAAAACAAACGACTTCCCGCACCCAGCACTAGCCGTGACTATCGTGCCGAGAGTCTGACCTGTGAAAAAATAAAATGGTGACTGATCAAGACGGGTGCTGTCGAGAAGTGTCTCCAATTCGATCCCTTGCATTTGCTGGCTTGCGCGAGTGAAGGCATGCTCGGTCCGCCACATGTCGTCGGAGCTGGACTGGAATTCATTCTTGAACTCGTTGCTTAGATTTTTCTTCGGCAGCATGACAAGGTTGATGTAGATGTTATCGACAGTGTTTGCTGTGCTGGCGCCAAGGATAGGTGAGTAGTTTTTATTGGCTTTGGCGTAGCGAATCTTGAATAGCTTTTCAGCACGAACCACGTGTAATGAAGCTGGATACAAGATCAAAACAGCAGCAAATGGCAAATGGATATCTGTAACAAAGTCGTCCCTTGCATGAAAACCAGCCACTTCGCCACTCCCTGATACACTCTCAGCAACTCACTCCACTTGCACATCACCACCACCATAGCCAGGACAATACTGTAAGATTTTGATAGTCTTAACCCTCCTGATAGTTATTTAGCTCCAACAGATTCGTCCTCGCTATGTTGGTGATGTTAACGTAGAGTGTGTTGGCTGAGTGCACATTGTAGAGTGCATGTCAAGTGAGTGTTCTCAACGGGTAATACAGATGAAACTGATGTGTGGTAACACACACAACAAAATGTTTCAAACTTCTCGGCCGCCGTGCTCTAACGAGTATCACAAAAATAAAGAAAAGAAAAGAAGGGATGTGAGCTTTACTAGACTTGAAGTTGAAAGCCAAACAAGCCCTGAAGTTGTTTAACATAAGTAGAGACGAAGCCAGTTATAAACCTGACCAGGCCTTTCATGCTGATACGTCTATTATCTGTGACATATTCCACCAGCATTGAGTTAGTGCTTACCCTCACACTTCCATTCACACCTTATCCCCACACTTACATCATCTACACTTGCATTGTGTTAGTTATCACCTATGCTCTCCCCCCTATATATACCATGCTATCTACTCCCATTGGGTATCTATTCCTTGACTCATCAAGTTGTTACATGGTGTCAGAAGTGGGATTCGAACCCACGCCTACAAAAGTAGACAACGATAATGTGAAGAAGAAAAACACGTCAACTTATACCGCTTTTAGGCAGGGAAATGGTGATGACAAGTATGAAAGTGGGATGATGATACTGATTGCGTCTGACATAATTGTACTATAACTTTAGCAAAGGACAAGCCACCTGTTGACGTTTTAACTAGTGCACAACATGTCAACACGTAAAGAAAGGAAGGGCCCAAGAAGGCACAAACAACAACTAACGTTCCTGGCAGTACTCCCAACACACCTGATCATGTCCCCTTGCCTGCCTCACTGCAGTATGCAAGAAAGTTAGAGCGTACTTCCAGATTCAAGCACAGGCATGTACCAAATGTTATCCATGTTATGCTAGAGGCTGTCTACATTTCCAAATTACGACCTGAACTGTGTAGACAGAAGGGGTTGGTGAGAGACCTGCTATTTAAATTTCCCACTTCCTTGTATATTTAAGTGGTTTCGGTCTTGGGGCACTTTGTTCGTGGGTCTGATCTACTCAACTCTCACCGCTTTAGTAGCCGCATAATTACGTGCCTCGATTATTGAGGGGTGTGGTGGTCCTACGACTGTGGAAAACTTGGTCTAATGGAGTCTTTACGTGAGTCGCGAATTTATGTGGCGAACTTATGTCAACTCATACCGCTATTTGGTGAATTGTTAAAAGTATTAGTAATCTTATATCAGGTGCAATCATCATCCAACTTGTGTGCGGTTCATCACCATTACATCACCATTACATCGCCAAAAAGCTGTACAAGTAGGCATTGTTGTACTTCATCACATCATTACCAGGATTGTACTGATCGAGGAGATCTTTTTCACCCTACTTAGTAGGATAAACTGGTCAAGTCAAGGAAGGGAGTGGGAGAGGGAGAGAGAGAGAGAGACCAAGAGGGAGAGGGAGTGACGGAGTGAGGCAGGGAGTGAGAGAGGATGTGGATGCCAAGGGGAGTGGGGGTTGGAGAGGGAGTGGGACAGGGGAAGGGAGAGTGGGACATTTGTAACTATTTGTGCTGGATGACTAACTTTCTCGGCAAACGAGAGACACACATGTGTGCACTTGCTAGGGGAGAGAGAGCGGAAACTAAGAACTGCGCAAGTGTTGCAATGAGTCCCCACCCCCACAGTTCCAAAGTGGAAACACCAGAAGTTTTTTGCCCTTATAGATGCACCGGGACTAGATCTTACCTGGTTGGCTGAAACCGTAGTAGACACTGATGACACCAATGATAAGAAGACTCAACCCCACCACCATTGCAAGGAATGGTATGGGCCTCTGAGCTGGTACTGCCACTGGTGCAGCTGATGCCTCGTGCTCCACTGCCGTTTCATTCCTCTCTTCTGATCCATTACCCTCCTCTTCTGATATGCATGTATACATATGTGCACACACACACACACACACACACACACACACACACACACACACACACACACACACACACACACACACACACACACACACACACACGCACGCACACACACACACACACACACGCACGCACACACACACACACACACGCACACACACACACACACACACACACACACACACACACATCCATCCACACACACACACACACACACACACACACATGCACACACACACACACACACACACACACACACACACACACACACACACACACACACACACACACATGCACACACACACACACACACACACACGCACACACACATCCATCCACACACACACACACACAGACACACACACACACACACACACACACACACACACACACACACACACACACACACACACACACACACACACACACATGTAAAAACAAGCACCCCCACACACATCCACACACATCCACACACATCCACACAGAGACACACACACACACACACACACAGACACACACACAGACACAGACACACACACACACACACACACACACACCCGCGCGCATGCACATACACAAACACACTGTACTTGTACTTGTTGCTCACTGCCAAAACTTGTCACGTGAATCTCCCCGGGAAAGGGGAGAGAGACTCAAAAGGAATCTTGGAAAGATGACTCAATTGGCTATTGAACCGCCCAACGGCCGACACCCCCTGAAATCCCCAAAACTCTGGGTGGACTTGAAAATGATCCCACTTATGGGCTCACCACACCTCAGCAAGTGGGTGAGGACAAGGTGCAGAAAAAGGATTGACGGCATCAGGGTATCCGTCCAGGGATCCAACTGCAGTTACCCCTGCATCCAGTGAAGGTAATACTTGCTACTAGTGTGGGTGGCTAGATCAGAGTGGATCTGATATAAGCTTCACTAGCACCATTGATTACACAAGAGTTAATCTAGCCAGAAGTAGTCCATGGTTAACAGGTATTTATACTTCAAATAGAATGTATATGAACCCTGGAATCAACAAAGGTGGCAGGTACAACATTACACCTTCAAGTAGCCGAGCCCGTTGGCAACAGACCCAACACAATCAGGCATAAGTGTACCCACCAACCCAACTAGCTGGCACACTGACACACACTGACACACACACACACACACGCACACACACACACACACACACACACACACACACACACACACGCACGCACACAAACAGATGTGAGGACGTGCAGATGCAAAATGTGGAAAGTTCCAAAATTGGTCATGAATAGAGTGAAGTGTTCGTCAAGGAGGCTCACGGAAGGGGAGAGAGACAGGGGCGGGTGGGTTCAGGAGCGGAAGACAGGGAGGGACTGGCAAAGTAGGGTCGGGGGGGGGGGGGATGAGGGGGTACTGGGGCAGGCAGGTTGGAGGAGGAGGAGTGTGGGGGGGGGGGGGTAGGGGGGGGGGGGGGCGGACACGGGTGTTTGCAGTACATGAACTCTGGCCAGTCGTCCCCGTACACCTACCGTACATTTCTTCGTGTTTGTGCGAAACTGAACGGTACAATGCTGTCGAGTTTGGCAGAGATTTGCCCTGAACCAGCCGCTATCAGATTAACTTTAGGCGTTTCGAAAACCACACGGCAACACTGCTTCCACGTCTACTTTCCTGTGTCGTTTGTTTGAAAGTCGGAGCTCGTAGTTTTGTCTTCGTTGTCGAATGGCTGTGCGTACATTCATCTCGGAATTACCAAAGTCCCACCCCCGTTTCTTACGTTACTAGGAGTTTCGCCGGCAGCCACAATAGTTTTTATCCCTGCTTCCATACGCCCTTCCATTGAAAAGTCAAAAAACGTTGTGGCGCGCCCTAGTTTTTGGTGTGGCAGTGGTTTCAAGTTTGTCACTTAGAGTCGTACACAAACAGCTATAACAGAACCTCAAAGAACTGAGACAGCAAAGTATTTCAACGATGCGATTTTGCCTCGCCTACTGTGATGATGGAGACTTCTACTCGGGAGCAGATGCACATGTCAACAAGCTGGGAGGGAGAGCGTGGCGAGCAAAATGGTGGAATGATAAGAGTCACATTCGCTCTCGAAAATGGTCGTTCATGCACATCTTGCTCTACTTAGATTTGTCATGCCCTGAATCTGCAATTGCGTGATTCGCATCCGCCGCGCTCATAGGCAGAGTGGAAATTGTTGCACTCTCTGATTTGCCGCCATCTTCACGAGTGACCACTGTAATTAACCCGTGGGCTACTGGTGCAGGAAGGTGGGGGAGGAGGAGGGGGGGGGGGGGGGGTACTGGGGCAGGCAGGTTGGGAGGAGGAGGGGGGGGGGGGTACTGGGCAGGCAGGTCTCTCTCTCTCTTTCTCATTCTCTCCTCTCTCTCTCTCTCTCTCTCTCTCTCTCTCTCTCTCTCTCTTTCTCTCTCTGCAATTGCGAGATTCGCATCAGCCGCGCTCATAGGCAGAGTGGAAATTGTTGCACTCTCTGATTTGCCGCCATCTTCACGAGTGACCACTGTAATTAACCCGTGGGCTACTGGTGCAGGAAGGTGGGGGAGGAGGGGTACTGGGGCAGGCAGGTTGGGAGGATGGGTACTGGTCTCTCTCTCTCTCTCTCTCTCACTCACTCACTCTCTCACTCACTCCCTCACTCTCTCTCTCTCTTTCTTCGTCTCTCTCTCTCTGTGCTCTTGGCGTGCCTGGTTGTGAAGAAGCCGAGACCCAAGGTCGGCAGAGCATCCCAGACCACGCCACCACTCCCCTTATTCATGGCTCACACATGACAGGTTTACGTGGCTCTAGTAAAAAATAAATAAATAAAAATAAATAAAAGTAGGGGGAGAAAGGGGGGGGGGACTGGGGCAGGCAGGCTGGTGGAGGAAGGGGGGGGGGGGCAGCATAGAAAATAGGAGACGTGTAGAAAGCACAATTGGGATAGATCACAACAAGGCTAAATAGAACTGTAACCATGTGTCCCTTACCATTTCCATCCACACTCTGTGACACTGGTCTGCCATCACTATCACCATCACCACCGTCCACACTCTGTGACTCTGGTCTACCATCATGATCACCACCATCACCATCCACACCTGTTCGGACTCGTCGTCGTACGCCTGTGGTTGCCATGTCAACTGAG